CAAAATTTAACAACAATAACGTCATCTATGGCAGGGCATTACGCGCACAAATCCATTGCGCGGATCTGAGACATAGTATTAATCATCACTATAATAATTGGATTTATTTAAAAAAAAAAAATAAATCGTATTAAAAAAATATATAAATAAATGAAAAATAAATAAAGTCAATAAATAACGGTATCTTCTGTAAACTTTGTTTAGGAATATGTAAACTTCTATAATCATAAAAAAGTAACAGAAATTAAGTCAGGAAATGCCATTTTTGATAATACATGTACATTGTTTTTTTTTCTATATTACCTACCCTCTACTACTTTCTCTCACAAACTAATAATAAATACAATATACTTTTGGTTTTAGGGCTGGAATAGCTGCTAGTGAGAAACCTCAGCGAATGAAAAAAAATAATTTTGCGGAAAATATTCAGTTTGTCAAATAGTTATTTTAAAAACTAAAATACTCTCAATGATGCCATATATACAATAATAAGAAGCACACCATATTTTATGCAACGCGTGTATAATAATCCAAAAATGAAATATATCTACAATCATTCAGTTATTTAAAAAATTTAAAAATGCATCAGGGGATCTGCAATCACTAATAAAATTAAGACACTTTTAAGAAATTGCTTCCTTTAAAGGCTTTAAGGAGCATATTATACCTTGACTAGCTTTTCCCCCTTAGAGGAAATGGTCAAGTACAAAAGAAGACGAAATAGTCCCATCCACATGGTCTGCAGTAAATCAGAACTTTGATTTACTATGGGGAAAACCTTGGAAGTTTGATTTACTATGGTAAAAACTTTGAAACTATAGTTAGCTATAGTTTACTACTGTACATCTGGAAATTTTTGCGTCGATTTTATTTTGCGAATCTGGGTCAAAATGCTGTTGATTAATTTTTACGTTTCGAAATTCTGCGAATAACCACTGCATTGTTTACATTTTCTTATTGTTTAATTATTTTTGAGAAAAATATTTTTGCGAATGCAAGGAGCTCGCAAATTTGCTAAAAATTTATCTACAGCAAAAATTTCCAGATTTACGGTATAGTATTTTTCTTTGTTGGTGGGGGTGGGGGTGGGGAGAACATAACACGGTCGGTCCTCAGTAACCTATTCCGTATAATTACACGTCATGTGCCTAACTCTCTGTAAAATATTTATGCATTTGCTGCTTTCTTTGGGATATTTTATTTGTGTGTTCTTAATATTTCTACGACATTTGTCGGTAAACGGTCTGCCAGCACTAGAAAATCAGTATGATGAAATTGATTAATAAAAAATATAGTGTACCATGTAGAAATGCAGAAATACTGCATATTTTAACTGATAATTCTAAGAGAGAGAGAGAGAGAGAGAGAGAGAGAGAGAGAGAGAGAGAGAGAGAGTCGTACTGAAATGGATATATGTAGGAAGGAAAAACAAGCAAATTCAAAGAATTGTGGTCCCCCGCTTTCGGTGTCTTTGTGGGCGAAATATTATTTTTTAGGGTCAAAGTCAAAAGGTCAAAGTTATTGGTATCACATGTAAGGTCTTTCCACAAAGAATATAAATATTTAAAATATGATAGTCCTAGTTTCTACCGTTCAAAATTTGCGACCAAGGTTAAAGTTTTTAAAAAGTAGTTTAAACTCCAAGGTCAAAGGGTCAAAGTTCTTGGTATGCAATGAAAGGCCTTCTCACAGGGATTACATACGTGAAGTACGAAAGCACTAGCCCTTACCGTTTAAAAGTTATGGTCAAGGTTAAAGTTTTTCAGAAGTACGTAAATCTCCAAGGTCAAGGTTAAAAGGTCAAAGTTGTTGGTATCCAATGAAAGGTCTTGCCACAAAGAATACATACGAGAAATATAAAAGTCCTTGTATCTACTGTTCAAAAGTTGTGACCAAGGTTATAATCTTTAAAAAGTAGTTAAAACTCCAAGGTCAAGGTCAAAAGGTCAAAGTTCTTGGTATCCAGTGAAAGGTCTTTTTACAAGAATAACTTATGTGAGGTATAAAAGCCATAGTCCTTACTATTCAAAAATAATGGTCAAGGTTATAGTTTTTTTCATAAGTACGTAAATTTCCAAGGTCAAGATCAAAATTTCAATGTTGTTGGTATACAATGAAAGGTTTTGTCCCAAAGAATAAATATTTGAAATATGAAAGTCCTAGTATCTACCATTAAAAAGTTATGGCCAAAGTAAAAGTTTGGAATTTTTGAGTAAAAGTTGGTCAAACTCCAAGGTCAAGGTCAAAAGGTCAAACTTGGTGGTACCAAAAGAAAGGTCTGATCACAAGGAAAACACATATGAAATATGAAAATCATAGCTCCACTTAATCAAAAGTTATGGGCAAGGTTAAAGTTTTTGTGACGGACGGACAGACTGACAGACAGACGGACAGACGAATGAGATTTAATGTCCCCTCGCTTTGGCGAAAGCTGGGGACAAAAATGAATGTAAGGAAAAAATTTAGAAATCTTTATTGCACAGGGCATGTTTTTTCTTCCAGATAGATCAGAATTCTTCTATTAAAACTGATGATGAAAGTCAAAGTGATTTTTTCCCATCTCAAATAAGTGGTAGATATATCAAACATTTTTTCACATTAAATGCTTATACTCTAATTTGTATACACAAGAAAACCCAAAAGTTCTAGTCATTGGGTTGTCTGGTTACTTTGCATGTTTATCAGAATGTTGAATTAGTGTGACAGTGTACTTGATCCAAAAGCTAAGTAAATGTTAAGATTTTGTGATTGATAAGGTTCAAGTGTTTATCTGACTATCTGCTAGCTATAGTTGTTGTATATAGTCTGTTAACGTTTTCACATTTTTAATTCTTTGGAAACAATAGACCATGCCATTTCAACTAAACCTACAGCATTCCTGGTTGTAGGGTATTTCAGTTTATTTAAATGAAGGACCAATCCCTCTTTCAAGTGAAGAGGGGAAAAAATGACATTTTTGTGCTTGTATGGGAAATGGGAAATAATGACTTTTTGTGCTTGTATGGAGGAGTATTAGAATATACTACTTAACAAAAATATTACTTGTGACCTAACATACATGTCCAAGAACGAATTCAATGTCGATATCGACGATATCGACAATTTTATGTCGATATCATATCTATATCGATCGTGATCAGCACTATTAATTGGAAATACCTGGTGCCAAATTTGAGAAACTATATTACGTCGATGTTGTCGATATCGACAATATCATGACGATATCGTATCGATATCGATCCTATTTGCATAATCTAATTTCACATTGAGGTATAACATTATGTTACAAAGTCACATGTGAAGTCAAAATTGATTCATTATTGGCATGAATATGAAAATAAATTATGATAAAGAAAATTTTAAGTTGTTATTGTTTTAGATTAGATTTAGAGTAAAATGTTGGGTTGGGGTATAAATTCTTGAAAATGTTTTAACAATCATGATTCGATATCGACGATATCGACGGTAAGGTAGATTTATTAAACACAGAAGTCTTGTAAAAATAAAGTTTTTGTATTAAGGTGAAGATTGGTAAAGTAATATGCTTTTAACAATCATGATTCGATATCGATGGCAGGTAAAATCTTCGTAAAAGGAAAGTTATTAAACATAAACACATTCAAAGTAGCAGGGAAGGTATAAACAAAAGTTGAGCGAACATGATTCGATATCGAAGCAATATTGTCAATATCGACGATATCGACACTTCAGAGAAAGATTTATAAAGAAAGTTTTAAGTAACAGTTGTTAAAAACAGCATACTAAGGATGGAAACCACAATTCTTGAAACAATCATGATTCGATATCGGCACGATATCGAGGATACTAACAGTAAGAAAATAATCTTACAACAGTAAGCATTGTTATAAACACACGAGAAATATTAGAGAAATATTATAGAAAACTATGAAAAAAGTAATGTGTCGATATCGTAACTACATCGTGTCTTGGACATAACTCTGACCTAAGGGTGTGTAATGACCTCGACAGTCGACCCGAAGCCATTTGTGTGAGTTCAAGGTCGCTATAAAGTACATTATTTGTGTCTGGACAATATCTTTCCTATAGATAAACTTCCTTTTTCATTCAAAGAGTGCTCATGACCTGAGGGTGTTACATGTGACCTAGGTCATTTGGTTATGTTCAAGGTCACTGGAAGAAAAAAAGTCATTTTTTCGTGTTTTATTCATATCATTTGTATTGATGTTTGCTAAGATTAGATTTTTGCCTTAGTTTCATTTACTAAAATGTATAATGAGCAATTTTACACTCTAAATGTTTAAACACCAATACCAGTATTAGTGAGGGTATTTGTCCCTTTTGGACAGTTCTAGTTAATATTAAAATTAGCAAGTGCCTTATGTTACTAAAATATTGACTTGTGACTATAGAGTTAAAGATTCATGTTAATGTTTATCTTTGATATTTTTCAGTCATCATGGAGGAGTTATGAAAATGACAGCACCCTGAATGCACTGAATGGATTCCTAAATGCAGTCAATTTACAAACTTTTTTCTATCAATGAAAGGAGGAATTGGGTGACATATTCGAAAAGGACTCAAATTAATTATTTATTTAAGAAGAATCAATGATATAATGATGTGCATCAAGGGCATACTGTTTCCCGAAAATAAGGTGTTAGAAGAACTGAATGATCTTCAGAAGACCAGTGCTTCAAGTAGATGCTCATCAAGTGACTTTGACTACACAGATCTTGTGGACTCTTACAAAAGAGCAGAAACATGGCAGCAGAGAAGACAGGTTTTGTCCATCATTGCGTCAAAAATGTCACTCAAAGATGTACTTGCAATGATTCCCGAAATTACACCTCACAGATATTATGCTGCCCCTAATCATTCCAAGCAAATTGGTGCTGCACTTCTTATTCCAGACAAGAAAATTAACAGACAAAGAATGGATCCAGATAAGCTCGATGCATTCCCTGATTTCATTACCTCCAGCCATATTGTTCATGACCTCCCGTATGGTGAAAAGAAAATGAAATTTTCAGATGGATCAGTGCAAAGTATGCCAAATGTTGTGAAGTGCATGGGTTCTGCCGATATAATTCAGCAGTACAAAGCTTATTGTCAAGAAAACAACATTATGCAATTAGGTATGTAATTTCAACTGGAAATATTTTGTAAATTTTATTTTTTGTTACATGATTGAAGGTCTAAATGCAAATGTGTACTTTTTCTTCTCGGTTGAATTAATGTGCTACATATTGTACCAATTTTATAGAGTTATGTTCAAGAATATAAGAAAAAAGTTATTTTTAAATCAAAATATAGAAACAAATCCTAATATAAATGAAATAAGAATATCTTACACAGCGTACTGTGGTTTCATCAATATTCGTTGAGCACCAATTTTCGAGCATTTCTTGTTGAGTAGATCCACGAAATTCAATGTTCATTGAATTAAGAAATATATTATTCATTTTATACAGGCGATCCTTTTGTCCACAAAATTGTATATCATCGAAAACGTCTGTTTTACAAAGTCCACAAAAATTGATGCCAACGAAAATTGATGAAACAACAGTATATGCATTAACTTTTTTATTATTGTTTCATTTGAAAATCTTTAATTATATTTTCACACATTTTTGTTAAAAATGTAATTTTGACAATATGACAGGAGATAGCACAATGTTCAGGATTCTTGAACAATGTGGTGCCCAAGTCAGAAAGAGTCTTGAATGTCTAGACTACTTTGTTGCTGAAGGAGGACGTGCATTTGTAACTCTGCAAGATGTCATTGACAAGCTGCTGAGTTATCAAGTGATTTCTGGTGACCAGCAGAAGGATTATCAGGCTCTGCTCTTACAGTCTAAACAGTATCTAAGAACAGATTTCAAGGTACTAAATATTGCTGATTGCTTAATGTCCTCTAAATGAAAAGCACATACTCTGTCTTAATCAAAAATGTCTGACCATGTATAAATCAGTTGTAATTTTTTTCCATTTTGATAATTTTTATAGATATTTTTTTTTTTACATTCTGGTATTTACACCTTCTTGTACCATTAATAGATTTCTAGTAAGATGGGAGCCAAGACATATATTATTACTACATGTGTATTGTTATATGGTATTCATATTCCCATATACATGTATTTTCATTTTATTTCATTCAAGATACATGTCTCACATGGAAGTGAAGAGGCAGATCACTGTATGGTTCATGCCTTGAGCGATGCAAAAGAGGGAACCTTCATGGAGGAATGTAGACACTGCCATGATATGGGTTGTGAAAGCTGTGAGCAGTTGAAGGACCTTTTGACATTTCTGGAGAACATCTTTTCTAATTCTTCCATAATTGCAGCAGGAGAGGAAATAAATGATCTTCGTTTCAAGGTATAAAATTAATTCATGCAGTTTATTTAATACAGATTGATTGATTGATTGTATCCAAGACCCAATCACTAAACAAATAGCCCGCAGAAAGTGGCGATGGATTGGACATACCCTCCGAAAACCACCAGGAGACATTACACGCCACTCACTAGAGTGGAACCCACAGGGCAAACGGCGAGTTGGGCGTCCCAGGAAAACTTGGCGAAGGTCCTGTGAATAGGAGATCAGGCAATGTGGACATTCCTGGGAACAACTAAAAAGAGCTGCCCAGAATAGAGTGCGGTGGAGAACTGTTGCTGAGGCCCTATGTTCCACCAGGAACCAAAAGGAACCATGATGATGATTGATTGTATATTGTTTAACGTCCCTCTTGAGAATTTTTCACTCATATGGAGACGTCACCGATGCCGGTGAAGGGCTTCAAATTTAGACCTATACTCGGCACTCAGGGCCATTGAGCAGTGAGGGTTCTTTATCGTGCCAACGCCTACCGTGACACGTGACCTACGTTTTTAAGGTCATATCCGAAAGACCCGTGACTTTCACTTCCAGTGCCGAGCGCTTGGCGAAGGAACAGTCACTACCTATGTTTACGTCTTAGGTATGACGCGGCGCCGCGATCGAGAATCGAACCCGGGCCTCCCGATCACGAAGCGAACGCTCTTCCACTAGGCTACCGTGACCGGTATATTTAATACAGAGTCAACCATGTGAAAAAGTTATCCATGTCTTATAGCTTTTAAAGTTTCTATATTAGGAGTCATCTATACACTGCGCACTAAAGAGTTGCATTGTTAAATTATCATTTTATAAATTTAGGTTCAGAGAGCAACTGAGAGTATTTGGAACTTAAAAAAACATGCCATACGATGCAAAAATCAGGATCAAGCCAAGCGGATCTCTTTGCAAACATGCCCACTAGTGTAGTTTTGTTGATCTGTGACTGGGCAATGAAATTCCTGCCCCGCAAGTTTAGAGAGGACCAATGTGACTGGTTTGGGAAAAGAGGAATTCCATGGCATATTTGTATGGCTTTCTGTAGAAAGGATGATGGCAGCATTGGGAGTCTAGGATTTATACATTTCTTTGCAAATCAAATCTCTCAGGTAACAAAATATAGCATTATTTCAAAACTGAAGAATGTTAACGGTGCCCATTATTTAAGGAATGAATTTGACATTTATCCAAGTTGTACTGGTATAACCTGGGAAGGGGCAGTTTGTGCTTTATAAACAGCAAACTGGGTTAGCTATTATATTCATTCCTTATACATGAAATTTAACTTCTCAACATTAAAGTTGTCACAACTGACCTCAAGTTGTGATGGATTCGTTAATCAAATTTACAATCCAAATCAAATAATATTTTGGAAGACCTCCTGTATACCAAGAAACAACAAGATTTATAAAAATTAACAATAAATTTATCTACATATGTACAATGAACAAAACACGGCTGAAAGTTCGATCATAGTTGTCACGCGAGTTTCACACCACGTTCCAACGTCATCCACGGTCCACCATATTGTCCATATTGTCCACCATAGTGTACCGTCCGGGGTCCACCATATCCTAATTAGACTCACCACGTAAACAAAACCCTTCAGTCCAAATAAAGCTTAATATACAAGTTCTGGTCACCTACAATTTTCATAGGGTTTTCTAATAAAATATTCAAAATACATATCTGTTCAATATACTAGATTTTACAAACAAATTACAAAAGAAAACACATATTTGCCGTTTAACAAGTAAATGAGCGTAAATATATACATTCTCGCTATATTGCTAACCGTTTTACATCGAATATTGCTTTTTAAAGCTAACAACAAAAATATTGTAAAGTATAAGAACTTACTGAGCTATGGCATTTTACACATTAAACAGGTTGGGCACAGTTCCTTTTTCGGGGAAGTATTACTGTAAAAGGGAACTATTACTCTTTTCAATAATAAAAAAAAACATTACTGAATTCGGGAATTTTCACTCATTTAGCCTCTATTCTTGTGTTTGTTTTGAATAAAAGATAAAGTGCAAGAATATTTTCACATCGTCTAAACATTTATTGTCTATTAAGTGTATGTGTGCTCAAAGCTACAATATTTATTGCTGCAAAAAGCTGAAAAAAGTGGGATGAAATATTTCTATGCTAAAGATTTCTTACGGTAGCTTACCTGTGTTAAAATTGGGATAATGGATACGTTCAGCATTTGCTAACTCGTTCATGAGATTATTCTTTCTAATTTAATTTAATACAATTTCTTTAAATGAAATCGTAATAATAATTGTAAATATCATTGCTGCTTTTACAGATGAAAATAATTATTTGAAATATAAAATACAAATGACATTCTTTTAAAATTGTCCTGGAATGAATGTCCTTATTAGATTCCATACTTTTGGTACCATTATCAACAGGGAAAATTATTAAATCTCATTTTACTCTTGTCTGCAGGAATGGCGGTCCGAATTTTTCAGTCAGCGAGGTTTGTTTGATAAAGATAAAATACATCACACTGTATTGTTTTATGCACTTTTTATTTAATGAGTGGATTAGAGGCATTATTTAAAAAATGTGACAAAACTTCCCCTATTGAGTAATGTTTTTATTACTGAAAAGAGTAATAGTTCCCTTTTGTAGTAATACTTCCCCGAAAAAGGAACTGTGCCCAACCTGTTAAAATCATACTGTCGGCCCCCAGGTCTTGCTCTTAACGCCGCTACAAAACATCCCTGAATCCCAAGATCACACAGCAGGGGAAACAGCTAGAACACACCCAAGTTCACACAGCATGGGTTATATAAAAGGCACACCCGAGATCACTAAGCATGGGTAAAGTATAACTCACGGCGTCCAGACTTCTTCTGACAAACACTAGCCAACACCCAGTATAAATAACTGACCAAGCTACTCAAACGGGTTCGACGAGTATACGTTGATAAAAATAGCAATAAGTACAACCCAGTGACCAATAGTGCGTAAATGAAATAAACGATAACTCCTAATGCCCAAATAAAGATAACTCTTACCAATACCTGTACAAGCTAATATAAAACATTGACACAATGTCACTTGTGACAAAAGTGTAGACAATAAGACAACTTTTTGTTTAAAAGTACTTGACAGGTGTATGCCAGTCTGTCTCATTAAACTTTTTTTAACCAAATGAATTTTAGGACAGTAGTGTCACTGTCAGGGTGATCAGTGACGTCATGAAGCAGATTCAGGGAATCCAAGCAGAAAACCTGAAGTTTCATCTATGGTCTGACAATGCAGGGTGTTACAAGTCTACAGACATGCTTGCATTTTTGTATCATTCTGGAAATGTAATAAAGACCTACAACTTCTGCGAGTCCCAGAATGGGAAGGGTCCTTGTGATCGGACAGCAGCTACCATTAAGTCAGCTATTAGAAGATATGTCAATCAAGGCCATGATGTACTAACAGCTCATTCAATGTAACAGGTATTATAAATCTACATTTAAGGGGGCCGACTATAGTTTTATTGTGTTAAAACTACAATAGCGAAACTCTTCATTTTTATACCATATATAACTTACATTAACTTCACTGTACATGAATAGTTTCGGGAAAATCTACCGTCCAGGTATTTTTGAGGGACCGTCTCAAAATACAGGTACATTTACTATAGGAATATATAGGAAAATGCCAATTTTTCGCACTTTAAAGCAAATTATAGAAATACTACAATAGACATTTTGTTCAGACTATGATATTTTATGAATAATATTATATGATACAATATATATAAGAAACACAAAATTCTAGCTCTTGTAAAGAGGGGAGGCATCTCAAAATGCAAAAAATTGGCAAATTTTACTATTTTTATAGAGTACTACAAAATATGACGTAAACAATGGATTCACAAGAAAACATAATAAAAATATTGGAGATATTCTAAAATTTCTATGTTTTAAATAAGAGCGTGTGATTATTACTTTTTCTGTAATAATATTTTGTTACCCCTTACTTTAAGAGCTACAAATTAACATAACGTCAAAAAGACACTGCAGCGACGTCAACCTACCTATCAACTGCAAAATCGGTTAAATAATCAGTTATATAAAATTGTAAATTCATTTTTAGACCTGTTATTTCTTAATTTTGTTTAATTTTAAAAATAAAGCGAAAAAAGTTGCATTAAAACAGCAAATACGCTTCATTTTCCTATGATGCGCGAAATATTGCGCAATGGAAACTATAGTCGGCCCCCTTAATGTTAACTAACACTGGTGAAGTTAAACCAAAAATAACAAATCTGATTTCAAGAGAGATTTAAATAATCTCATGAAAAATAACTTAATTAAATGATATTTTATATAGCTAAAATGATTCAACTGTTCAAGTGTTGTTATGGTGATGTTTCAATACAAAATATTTATTGATAGCACTGTAACATGAACTTGTTTAATCATTTTACATGTACGTTATCCTATGATTATTTTTCAGGCAATTGAACAATCTTTGAAGACTGTGAAGTACAGAGTCAGTGTGGTCACAGATTCAAGCACAGAACATGAAAGAAAGAAAAATCTACTGAAGCCTTTGGCTGGGGTATCGACGTAAAATAATTTTTCATTCTCACTTACTGGAATAAGAGCATGGAAAGCTTATGAAGTTGGTCCAGGTAACTAAATCATTTTAAGTCTATATGAAGTGTAACTAATACAATGTACTGTAACTTTATTATATTAAGCATGTACCATACAATATTTGACAGTACTGAATTTTTGAACACACTGTGGGTGAAATCAGTCAGCAGGGGATGCTCACTCCTCCATGGCACCTGTTCCCACCTCTGAAATTTCAGAGGTCCATGTGTGCTCTGCTCCTGTTTTGTATTGTTTTACGGACTTTTTATATTGAATACTGCTCTTATCTTTATATCCTTCATTCAAGAGATTTAGCGTTGTTCTAAATTCAGTGGAAGTTCCTTCCCTCTAAAATTGCATAAAGGATATGAAGTCAAATGTAATACTGAACATTTACAGTGTTGAACATTTTGAATAATACATTAAAATTCTGTTGCAAAAAGAACATGTAATTGTTTACATCTCAAAGACAACACATTTTCTTTAATTTGAAGAAAACTTGAAATCATGTTTCTAGGTCAAAGGTTAAGTTCATAGCAGAATTATATGAAAAATCATTGTCCGGAGCATGTTTTCTCTTGACTTTGTCCAATGTGGCTCGTATATAAATCACAGAGTGCCAGTGGTCAATTGATGTGCAGTGACCTTGAACAAGGTTTTAGGTAAAGGGTCAAGGTCAAAATAGCCTCTTGGTTCAAAATATTTGTTCAGTGCATAATTCCTTTAAGTCCACTCAGCCTCGAACAAATAGACTGGGTACGGAACATTTGTGATTTCCTTTCATATATTGATAGAGGGTATGTAACAATTTTCATTGAGGATACATTTCTAAAAGCTTTTTTAAAAATGTATTATTTTTCAGGGAGTAGTTACTTTATGTCCTCTTTAATCTCAAACACCTTCAAAATAAACCCTTTTAGGTACCTTACATTTTCATGTTCATTGCTGAAAGCGAGGCCCTTTAAGATGGCAATTATCTCAGTGATTTCTAGTTCTAGGTTAGTTTTAATTGGACAGTATTGCCATATTGTAAATATATACAGCTCCCATTTGAATTTGAGAATGATTTAATTTTATATTTTGCAGGAAAACTTATCTTTTCCCCAACGATACCAAAGGTAGATCCTACTCAAATTGAAAGCGAGGAATCCCAGGGAGCACATGAGGTTGTTTTTCACAGTCTGCCACCAAAACCTGAGAGAGGGGAAAACATCTTAACTTGTACCAATGATGGATGCACACTGTCATTCTCTACATTTCAAGAGTTGTCAAACCATCTGTTATTTGGGATTTACGAATGTTCATATGAGTGTCAATCTTGCAATGGGTGTGATATAACTAAAAAGATGTATGCAAAGAAAATGTCAAAGTCTATTGCAGCAAACCTCACGATATCTGTGGATGAACAAAGTGAAGGAAAAGGTAATGGTGAAGTTTTGAGCAAGGGATGGGCTCTGAAAGAAGAAAGAAAAAACAAGAGGTTTAATGAAAATCAAAGATCTTTTCTTCTTGAAAAGTTTAACGTTGGTTTGAAAACTGGCAGAAAAGAAGATCCATTCTTTGTTTCAGAGGCTATGCTTACAGAGAGAAAAGCAGATCGGACAAGGAGATATTCATATGATGAGATTTTATCAACACAACAAATAACAAGTTTCTTTTCCAGGATGAGCAGGAAAAGCAAGAGCTTGGCAGATGTTTCTGAAGAGTTGGTTGAGGCGCAACGGGAAGAAACAATTATGATTGTAAGAAGAGAACTGGAGGGGGAATCTGTAAAGTAAAAGCTCTCAAAAACTTTTCTTGTGTATTTTTATGCACCTTTTTTTTAGCTCACCTCAACGAAGTTGGGGGAGCTTATGTAATACATTCGGTGTTGGCGTCCCAGGTTAAGTTTTTTGGAGCACTTTTCTTTTTAAGTACTTCTAGGTCCTATAGGCCGCTCATCATGTATATTTATGTATCTATTATATTCATGTGAAATACATGTATCATGTTTGATTGTATTATTTCGGAGGCGGTAATAGGCGGCTCTTTATGAATATTTATGTATCAATTATATTCAAGTGAAATTCATGTTTGAGTGTTTTAACTCGGAGGCGGTAATAGGCCGCTCAGCATGTATATTAATGTATCTATTATATTCAAGTGAAATATCATGTATCATGTTTGAGTGCATTATATCGGAGGCGGTAATAGGCCGCTCAGCATGTATATTTATGTATCAATTATATTGAAGTGAAATACATGTTTGATTGTATTATCTCGAAGGCGGGTTTAGGCCGCTCATCATGTATATTTATGTATCTGTTATATTCAAGTGAAATCTCATGTTTGAGTGTATTATCTCGGAGGCGGTAATAGGCCGCTTATCATGTATATTTATGTATCTATTATATTCAAGTGAAATTCATGTTTGAGTGTATTAACTCGGAGGCGGTAATAGGCCGCTCAACATGTATATTTATGTATCTATTATATTCAAGTGAAATACATGTATCATGTTTGATTGTATTATCTCGGAGGCGGTAATAGGCCGCTCAGCATGTATATTTAATTTATATGTATATAACATTGGTATGATATGGAGCCAAAAATACAAAGTGAACAGTATAAACTTTCTTTGTTGTTTTTTTTTAAACACACACCTTTAAAACAAAATAAATAAAATAGATATTTATTTATTATCATATATTTTCTTGATATCTTGTTTACGCTTAAAATTCAGTGGATATCATGCATTAAATAATTTAAAATATCCCAAAATTGTAACCTCACAGTGGTTTTTTTTTAATTAAGAAATAAATTAAAACAAATTAACTTAGATTGGAACATCAAACAGATTGTATTTATTAGTGTCAATTAAATCAGATTTGTACTTTAAAAGATACATGCACATGCAGCTACATCCGCTAAGGAAATTCAATATCGCATAGGGTCCAAACTTTCATTTTCATTCCAAATTATGTAGAAGCATCCTGGGTAGTTTAAATTCTAAATTGTTCAAATCATGCCCTCCCGGGGTAGGGTGGGCCACAATAGGGAATCCAAGTTTGATACAGAAATATATAGGAAAAATCTTTTCAAGAACCATTGAGCCAGGAAAGCTGAAATTTTGGTGGATGCATCCTGTGGTAGTGTATATTCTAAATGTGGGGGGGGGATAGAGGGTCACCATAGATATAAGAAGAGGGGTAAAAGAACTGCTTCACTAGAGTTACTCAGGTCAGCGATGTGGGCCATGGGCCTCTTGTTAGTGTTCATTCAGTTATAGTAATTGGCAAGCTTGATGTCAAAATGACCTCAACATTGAATACTTGTCAAATTGTTTTACCGAATAAAAACATATGTATCATATTTCCAAAACCAGATTTGTTCTTTTTTTTCAAAACAATCATTTTTGTATGAAAAATGTTGCTACTCAGAGAAACAACCTGTCTCAATGAATGTACCTGTGAAATATGGAGCCCTGGTACAGTCGTGGCTACGGTTAAATGAGAGTCAGAATCCAAGGTCAAAGTGGAAAGGGGAAATACAAGGTACAAACATGAAGGCCTTACAAGAACTATACAAGTGAAATATTAATACTGAAATATTAAACCAATTGTTATTAAGTTATAGCCAATTGTTATAGCTTCTCATCCAAGATCAAAATGTCAATATTGTTTGTATA